TTTATTCCAACTTTTGATAAACAACCCCGTTGTTTAACGGGCAGTGTTTGCTTTATTATTTTTTTTCTCAAAAATTAGTCGTTTTTGTAAAAATTTTAGAGAGACAAAAAAGTTTTAGAATACTTTCATCTATCTAGATAAATTTTTTTTAATGTATTTACCATCTGCATAAAAAAATTTTAGCAAAAATGTAAAGGGGTGGTTACGTTTAGTAGTTTAGAAGAATAGGTTGAAAGTACAAATACGATGAAAACGTGCCCTATTATGAGTTAAATATATTCCCCAAATTTCGTTTTCCTAGCGTTTATGGTTTTTGAGAAAAAAAAATTAAACCAAAATTTTTTGCCATTTTTGGAGGGGTGCAGCTCCTTAGAGAAGCCCAAGTCGCCCATAGTTCATATATCAAAGTACCCTTAAAGTTGCCTAAAGAATCACCCCTGAAGTTTGGGCACGTCATTCAGATACATCCTGTATACAGATAACTGTAAATGAAACTGTAGCAAAATTACTATATATTATAAAAATGCCGTATGTGAAAGAGTCAATACTGATACAATATCTTGGTTATTCACAATTAAGCGACTTTATTGTAACGTTTTTATTATAAATGGAAAGCAAAACAAATATACAGGTGATTCAAAAAACCCCTGACAGACTTCTAGAGCAGGTAATTCATGAAAAATTAAGATGAATAGTCTTAATAAATGAATAATCTTATGAAATATGTGTGCTACATGTGCGGTAATTGAGTCCCGCTTCAGCTTTGGTTATTAAGGGTATAATGCAATAAATAACGCCCAAATTTAGTACGTAACATTGTCTACTAGTGACGAAAACTATTACCGATGTTATTGGTGTGAAATTATCCATAAATCCCAGCCATAAACTTATAACATTAATAATTCCGTAACCAATACGATTTGGGTCACCAAATTTTACACACAGGTCGCTCTTAGCCTCAAGAACAGCTTACAACCCCCATTTGATAAAAAAAAATTTTCAACCCCCACCCCCGAAAAAGGGATGTTTTCGCTCTGATAGCACCTTCGAATTAAACCAAATTCTACCACATAATAGAACACAGTTCTAAGTATTATTATCAATTTTCAAAACAGCGTAACCCTTAACGGATTTCGAGAAAAAAAATCGTTTTTATAAACCGCGGATGGGACTTAGGGGTGAATTTGACTCTGATGGGTACTTCTGAAATTGATGAAATTTTAGAATGATTTAGAGGATGCCTTTAGCGATTTAAATCCACCTCAAAACACCGTAACAGTTTTGAATCTGTTTTTTTTTAACAGTTTTGTTTAATCAAAAATTACAATCCAAAATTCACTCGCAAAAAGAGAACCGTAAAAATTCCGTCTTATTTTTTACATACAGTTTGTACTTTTACAGTAGAAGACAGTATTTACGACCAAAGCCTATAGAGAAATATCGAAATTATGATCATTTGTGAGTCAAAGTGCCAACATGCAGCTTTTCCTATTTCTGTAATTTTTCTCAAAAAGCACGAAATACCGTGATTCATTCAATTTATTTTGATTGTAACATTTAGGTATTAATAATGAGTATTTCTAAACTGCCTGCATCCCTGTAGCTTTTGAAATGTACATCGAAATTAAATTCACAATAAAAGACGTGTCATTCCTTCATTGTTTTTTTATTCTGAATCTAAATGTCCCTTAACTCGGAACCTACTGGGATGCCGGTACTTTACGGATACCCGGAATAATAATAATAATGATCCATACCCACTTTTGCATAATTCTGACGCAAATTTTCAACAATTGTCTCGTAATTCGGACTTTTATTGTTTTCAAGAAAATCAGAAACAATTAACTGAAACGAATTCCAGGCTGCAGCTGCGGATGTCAAATAGGTTTGAAATTTGTCATCTTTTAAAAGTTTTTTTATTTATGGACCGTTGAAAACACCCTCCTTGATTTTTGCGAATGAAAGATTTTCAAATAAGGTTCTTAAGTAAGCAAACGCTTGGCCTTTTATATAAAGCGCTTTCCCAAAATTCTTGAAGAGTCCAAGGTTAATATGTAATGGTGGTAGAAGGATATTTTCTTTTTTAATAGGAGGCAAGTATTTAATGTTGCCCTCGCCCAGGGTGTGGCTTTTTCCTTCAGGCCATTGCTTCCTCTTGTAATGGTGTTCCCTTGTGCGGCTGCCCCAGAGACAAAGGAAACAACAATATTTCGTGTAGCCGCTTTGTAAACCACACAACATGCCTGTGACTTTTAAATCGGCACAAACTTTCCATTCATGGTCTTCGTAATGAATAGATTTTAATAGTTTAACCATTGTTTCGTACGATTCTTTGGTATTTACAGCATGCGCAATGGGAATTGATGGTTTCTCATTTCCATTATGCAAGAGAGCTGCTTTCAAACTACATGAATTTTTGGTTAAACACATTTTGTCTAAAAAAAATTCCTTTTTCATATATTATGGGCCATTGTTATAAAACTACCGAACCGATTGGAATAAGTATTAATACCATTTATTAAATATACAATACTCTTTAATTTGATGAGTAGCACGACCAGATCGGTCATCTCTAACTCGAGATATGCTGCAAATAGTCAAATTACCCCTAAAAAAAATCATATCTCCAAAACGTATCCATAGAAAAAATTACATATGTAGAAATTACCATAGACCAAACTACATAAGTAAAATACAGTGGCGTCAAATGTACATTTTATGAATTTTTTTTGTAGACTAGTGTAATTGTATGTTTTCTATCTGAAGCTATTCCTCGATTTCTCTCATGTCTTTTAGACTCTTTCGTGAATGAAAATTTTTTGGGCAAAATATTTGACTCTTTATATTGTCCGTCAAATTCTGTTTTGAAAAACAGTATCTTAGAGCCCCTCCTGACCTGTATTAATACAATATCCTTCAAAAGAGGTCGATCTTTATTAAGTTTTTTAATTTGATAATAATAATTTATTTCAACCAGAGCATTGGATGCCTTTTCCATAGCATTTTAAAAAACAACAAAAAATCAATCTATAAATATTGCAAACATGTCAGGCTTAAGCTCCTTTTTAAAACTTTTATATTTAGTTGTTGCTTTAATGGAGGTAGGCAGTTTATTATATGTATAATTTAACAAAACAATAGAATGACGACTACTCGAACAATGTTGAGGAATGATGCTTCAAAACAAGTAATTTATTATTTCTGGTTTCTTCATACTCATGGCCAGGAAGCGGAAACCGGTGTAGGTGTAGGCTTTAAAAATGAAAATGTTCGGAAAAGTTAAAATTTTCCCAGTACGAAAATAGAGGCATCAAGACTTCATTAGTTGGAGACCGTATATGGCCCGAATAATTGTTTTCTGGACAACAAACACCCTCATTCAACCAAGCAGCTTTGCCCCTAATGAGAGTGTTATACGCCAAAACTGAGCGCGCAAGGGCATAATATACACTCAAGACACCACCGACATCTAAAGAGCCTTTTAACTTTAGAAGTGCAAAATATGCAGAATTCAATTTTTTCGAAACGTAAAATATGGCCGTTAAAGGTTATATTATCAATTGTTATACCCAAAAATTTGGCAGTTGTTACCAATTTAACATTATCTAAATTTAAATCAAAAGCTCTACGCTGCTGAAATCGAACGCAAATTGTCCTAATATGGTCACTTGGGGAATACCCAACTCAACAGATTCCCACTTTGAAACGGTTTTGACAACACCACCCGCATTCTACGTCCTATGAGAAATGAGTATATCCACGATAACAACGGATCACAGATACCCATTGTATCTAACTTCTTCACTACAAATACGGTTTCTAGGGTATCAAAAGGCACGTGAGAGATCAAAGAATAGTCCTACGACATACTTGCCACTGTCCAAATTATCATAAACAAATTGAACAAAATCAATTGAAGAGTTTCCGTTGATCTACCTCGTCTAAAACCATGCTGGTTATTAACAATTATCTTCAATAACTAATTCAAAAATCTTAGAAACGACACTATGTATAGAAATAGTCCGATAGTTGCTAATATCAGTGAGCGACTCCTTCTTGTGGACTGCAATGATTTTACTATTTTTAAGACAAATAGGGAATATTCCAAAAAAAAGAAGGATGATAAAACTCGGGGTTCTAGAGTCGGTTTCCTCATGTCAGAGCCGAATCTTCTTTGAACTACACGCTTGGGTTCATTCGCAAAGAAACGACAAAAGTCATTTACAACTTGATTAGTGTCGTTTACCACAATATCCCCCTGAACAGGAACAACACTGTCACCTACACTCGCCGTGCGCCTCAGACGAGCATTACCAAATGCTCGTCTGAGAATGCTGTCATTGTTTGCTTTGTGCCCTAAAGTCGTTACAAAGAATACTTTGCAAACCTCAATTCTGCTTTCAACTTCCTCTTTAAAAAAATATTTTCTTGACATGCTTTTTTTTGGAAGCTTTGTTGCTTTTTATTTCTCACCTTTTTTTCACATATCCAGTCTCTACGTAATGACTAAGAAATGCCTTTTGTCCACAGAAATCTTTGCTCTAGTATTTTTCATTAATTTTATGATGATTGTTGATTTTATCAGAACACTTCTTTTTGCATTTGCATGCCTTTGGTTTTCAAAACTGCAATGCGTAGCTAGATATGAATACCCTATATGGTGAAATACAAGCAGCATATATTATGGTGTTTATGCTTAGTGACTTATCATGTATTGCTATTTTTATGGCAAGAAAATGTGCTACGATGTTTTTCTTTAGTAATCTGATCATGATAATTGACAGCGACCAAATCACACAACTTAACATAACTTTTTTTGCGTTAAATTTAAAAAAAAACGAATGAAAAAAGTATTTTATGTAGATTTTAATGTGAAGAATTTGAAACTATTGCGAATTCATTTTTGTCAAAAATGTCACCAAAAATATCACATACGGTGTTTATGTTAGGACGGCAGAATTATAATCAGAATTATTTTAAAACTTATTTTGTAGATTTGATTTAAATAACATTGTAATAAATGCGGTTATCCCAATTTATGTGGGAGAATATGATACGTTTGAGATTAATGAGAACTTTTCTATGTCTATGATACCGGCAAGAATTACAACAAGGGTATGTAATTATGATTTAAAATGCCTTAAATTGATTTATTTCAATAACTAGAAATCTTCGAACGTCAATGGTAAAGTGGAAACATTAGAAAGTGTAGATACAGAAATAGGTTATTATTAATTTTATTATTTTTATTCAATCTTAATCTTTTTCCCATTTATTAGAGAAAAGTTTAATAAATGTCATTTGGAACGGATTATCAGAAACAATTTCTTATGTACTACGTCAAGAATTTAGTGCAGGAATTGTAGAATATTCCATTAATGAATTATTTGATGACCCCGAGGAAATGCTGTAAGCTAACAACAAATTTTTAATTTAGTTATCTAATAATAACTCTATTTTAAGCGCTTTTTCAAAGAAACGTCTAAAAGTAGCGAGGATAGTCATGAACACCATTTTTGGAAGGGCATCTTTATTAGTAGATGATTCAATTATTAAAATTCCTGACTTAAACCTTTCTTATAAATCCCCAACCACTTCAAAATTAACATTGATTTGTTTTCAATCCGGCACTTTATTGGGTTTAGCAAACATACATTTATCTGGAAAGTATTGTATTACTCAAGAAGATGCCACAACCATTTCTTTGTGTGGTGGGTTTGAAGTACGAGAGTTATCGATGCTTTTTAGTGATTGTTGGGTCGTTTATGATGGTATCGAGAACATTGGAAACTGTAAACTTGTTTCGTGTAAAAGCAAATTTCTATTAAAAATATTATTAGAAAAGAAAGGAAACAAGTATTGTCCTAAATTAGACAATGTGCAGCTCTGTTGGATTAGGTAAACTCTTTTTGTTTAATCATTGTTTTGAATTAATTCAATTTATTGTATTTAGACAAATGGAATGTGATTTTGTTGGTTTACCATGTCTTACAAACGATATTCGAAAAGAATTGCAATCTTACGTGGAAGCTTTTCTTTATGGTGAAATTCAACCCATGATGATAAATTATTTTAAAGAACGTTTCGAAGGAGTTCTTAAAAAGTATAAGATAGCTAGACATATCAAAAATATACCTTAAGTAATAACTATTTATTTTTATAGTTTTTGTATTAATGTTTTAAGTGCCAAATAAACATATCTTTGTTATTTTTTTTCTTTCTTAAAGAGTGTCAACGCATAACAGTTTTAAACAGAGGCCTTAGCCTCTCTCAATTTCCACCTCCACTCGTTCTTCTCTATTTCCATACTTTTACAGTGTCTCACTTGCATTAGTCAAGATAATTTGATAGTTTAGCGTCTGCATGTACTGCATCTTCTCATCTTTTCCTTGGCTTTCCTACTGGGCGTGTTCATTGCATTCTATTTGCTGTTTTTCTTGGTAGACAATAGTCTCAGATCAACCGACTATCCTCTCCAACCTCCCCATGGTGCAATCTAGGCAACGCAAGCCACTCTGTGAGGGGTAAGTAAATATAAATGATAAATGCGATCTGTCACTGCCAGCTCTCGTGGTTTCTGCTATATGTAAATTTATTACTACATAAATAAAAATCACAACAGGTTATGCGCCCAGATTCGCTAAAGAAATAACCAGAGGTGTACGGTAGATTAAATAGAACGGAGAAAAAAATTTTTTAGCGCTAAATACGGAGGTGTAAGCTTGTCAATTTTTTTAGCAATGTTGGAGGAAATTGCTAGCCAATTAAGACAGATAGGAGAACTAATTTTCTGACCAAATGTTAATGACAAAGGTAATCGCCGTTGCCAGATTCGTTGATCGAATACAGTGTGCCAAACCCTAACTTAGTCACTGCTAGCTATCAAGAAAAGGGTAGTGCGTGAACAGTTGGGTACGCTAGCCGCTCCGTGGACCTAGCTAGGAATGCCCACTACAGGAAACGAGAAGTTCTTGAGAGCTAGTTTTTGACACATTCAATGGAAAGAATTGGGAAATGACAGATTTGAAAAATGTTTTGTATGCGCCAGGTTTGAAGGTAAATTTATTTTCTTTGGGAATTGCACTGTCGGAAGGATATAAAATGGCAACAGATGAAAAAATATATAAATTTTCTAACGATAACATAGTTGTTGCGATAGCATTAAGAGATGGAAAGCTGTATCGAATGAAATTTGAACATGTAGATTTTGCATATAGAGCAAATGTAGGAGTAACTGTAGATATCCTACAAGGATGTCATACACCAATCAAAGACATACACGAGAGAATTGTTAAGACTTTCAAAATAAAAGTATTGAAAATTAATAAAAGAAAGAACACGAGCACAAAAAAGAAGGTTCGACAGAGGAGAAAGGAGAAGAAGTGAATGGACAGAAAAAAAGCAAAGAAGGAAAAAACAGAACAAGTGCAGAAATATTCTTCTTATTTCTGTGCCAGAAAAATTCAAAGATTGCTAACCTATGAAGAAGCTTTTAAAGACGAATGGAAGAATGCAATAAAAGAGGAAAAACGATCCTTATAAGAAAACGATGTATGGGAATTAGTAGATAAAAATGAGGTAAGATGACCAGAAAATATTATCGAGCAAATGGATTTTTAGAGTAAAGGAAGATGG